TGATATATATATATATATATATATATAGATATGTGTATGTTTTTATATTTATATGTACTGTATAAGTTTATATACTGGTACTTGTATAGTGCCTTGAATGATGCTCTGTGTTCAACTGGACTGGTTCTGCTCACAGATCCTGAGCGGTACTGCTCCTGGCTGAGCCTTTCCCTCTTGTCTGTAACGTCAGCCTCACATGAAGCAGCAGTCAGTAAGCAGTGAACAAACGCACCTTTAAACAAATGAGCATCCCTGGAAGACATGCTTTGATGCCACGATGTCGTTCATTAGAGTCCCCTCTGAGGGAAGTGTGCTAATGAAATATATTAGGCCGTGTAATTTGGAGCGATGCAGACAGCCTGGAGTTGTGTTTCGTCTCTAATGTTAGCAGGCGATCAGCCTTTCCGCCCTGTGGAGCAGCTCTTTTATTGTTCTTGTTGTTTTAATATGCACAGGATCCACTTGTAGCCTTAGGTTTGAGAAAAAGCCCTGGATTTATTTCCACAGGGAGACGGACAGCCTGAACCACCTTTCCTTCCTGACAGAAACTCGTCTCTATTAATGAACGTGTCCGTGGGCCAGCTGTAGGAAGCAGCAACGGTACTTTGAGTTTACCCCAGAATCGTTTAAAGCCACGTGGATCACACTCCAGTCTTGACTCTGCACCTTTAGAAGCTTCATCTCCGCTGAGGCTTCAGAGACTTTTGTATTAAGGGGTACTTAATCTAAATAAAATGAGAATCACGGTGCACCATCAGCACTTCTGCCAGCAGCTTCACTGACACCAAATTGTCCATTCAGTAGTTTCCTCCAGAACAATTTAAAAGCTATTCAAAGTCTTTCTATCAGCTGAAGAGCGGAGCAGAAAGACCAAGTGTCTGTGACTGTATTAAACATCCAGCATCCTGTTCCTGGATCTCAGACCAGCACCTCCATGAGCTGTCAAACTCCCATCTATCACCTGACGTCTAACACTTTCTTCTGTTTGATGACTCGATGTGAGCCCACCTGACACCCAGACTCATCAGTCAGAGAGGTTTTATTGTCATTCCAGCTACGTGTAAGTACATATTCAAATGAAACAGTGTTACCCAGAATATTGGTGCAACATAGAACATAACGTGCAAAAAACAAAACAACACACACTGCCGACCCAGAGTCCCCGGGCTCTGCTTCCTCAATGGAAACGTGCTGGTGGGATTGAGGAGGTACTCTGCTCACCAATCCACGACATCCCGAATTGAGTTCAGCAGCACACCACCTCCACTATAAACAGTGTTGGTGGCGTACCGCTTCCCTCCCCGAGGCGCTGGATGGCGGCTCAGAATCGTCTCGAAGCATACGGAAGTCATTCTCTATGGCCTCTCCGAACTCCACACACCCGAGTTTTTGCCTCAGCGACCACCCGAGCTGCATGCCTCTTGGACTGTTTGTACAGTTGCTTCCGGGGTCCCACAGGCCAAAAAGGCCCGATAGGACTCCTTCTTCACCCTGACAGCATCCCTCACCACTGGTGTCCACCACTGGGTTTGAGGGTTGCCGCCACGACAGGCACCGACAACCTTGCGGCCACAGCTCTGACAAGCCGCTTGACAATGGAGGCGCAGAACATGGCCCACTCAGACTTAATGTCCCCCACCTCTCCCGGAACGTGTTCGAAGCTACCCCTGAGGTGGGAGTTAAAGCTCCATCTCACACGAGACTCTGCCAGACGTTCCCAGACCTATAATAAGTGCAAAAAGACATCTAACCTAATCTAAACATTCTAATCTAAGTACGTAATTAAGAGCTAAGACTAGAGACACGTGTTGATTACTACAGGTGTAGGTGGTACATGAGGGAGAAACATGTTCTGATATGTGGTTAGCAGTGCAAAGTTTTTCTGTTTTTATAGCAGCTGAGATAAAAACTGTGTAAGGTGCAAAAATACAAAAACTTAAGCAGATTGTAAAATAAACAGTGTACGAGTAGAGAAGTCACAAACAGTACAACACATTTAGGTTGTGTGTCAAGAGTCCATCATGTGTGTGTCAGAGTCCATCATGTGTGTGTCAGAGT